CACCTTGGAGGACTTCCTTATTTGAATTTCTGCCTTTAGATTTCAGCCTGTTGAAAATGCTTGTGTGATGATGTAATTATTTCTTTATTTCTGTAATTTGTATTGGAGCATATATTTTCCACTCCCAAGTGCCTCCAAATCAAACTTGACAGGAAACTAGATTACAAATAATGGTGGTTTAAAGTTTCTAGAACTAAGAAGTAAAACAATTCTGTTTTATTGAAGTTCATACTAGACAGTACTTACTGGATGAAGAAGGCCTATGCAATATTGGTTGATTACCAGTACGTAGAAAATGAATTCTAAGTTGAACAGGAAGAGTTCAAGTCTACATGTGAAATTAGTTACTTTAGATGTGTTATTCCTTTAAAGTTACTGAAGTGAAGCAGGATCTTTTCTAGTTTTAATGCAATGTTCACATCCATAATGTTAAAGTTTGCTTAAATGTAAAGGTCTGGTGAATCCATAATAGTGTCATTCCACATATCCTTCAACTGGGGACTGACAGTTCAATCTCCAGGGAGGAAAAACTTAGTGAGTACTCTCTTGTTTGAGATGATCAGAGCATTGTGATCTGTTAGATAAGTGATGGCCTAAGAGAATGTGAGAAGGAAACTTGTGAAATTAGGAAAAGGTTGGGGATGGAGAATTGGATAGGCAAAGTTTCAGAAAAATTGGATAGCTGACTGATGGATTTCCATTGTTGGGTGTCAGTAGAGACTCTACAGATTGAATGTACACTTGTAAAAGCTATACTTTTTTGTTACATGAGCCTGCTCTTATCTTGATGTCTCTGGTTTGGAAGAAATTAGGCATACCTAAATTCCTTACACCAACTGGAATGAAAAGTAGTTTGGGGGAATGAAGGAATGACTTGACTTGCAAAGGAAAAAAAGTACTGTGCTATAAAGAAGAAATGACCTTATATTACCCTATATTAGAGGAGTATATATTTTTTTTTTTAATTGTGTTATTAATAAAATATTTTTTGAACCGGGATAAGTAAGTTGCTAGATGACACTGAACTGATTATGTTGTCCTACTTGAAATGGGTAGATACGCTTCAATGGAAAGTCAATTCATAAACTTCAGTGCAAAGTCAATTCTAATATCAGAAAGATGCACAGCATTTTCCTGTAGGTCAAGAAACCAAGTGAAATTTGAATGCAGTGGGATGGGGGTTCAAGCTTGTGTTTTTTTAGTTTGCAAGACAGATACATTTCTTGAACAAAACCAAGCAAATAGTAACTTGGAACAGTCCTGCATTTAGGTCTCTGGCAAAGAGGATGTTCTACACTCAGTTCTAGAAGCAGATTGTATGTTGTTTTGTGGATAATGTTGCTGCCAGAAACACCAACCCTTATGCTACATTGCTAAAAGTGCTAATTGACTATAATATGATATTCTTACTGGGCTGTAGTGCTAACTTCTGTTACTTGTACCTCAGAGAGGTTTGTCAGAAAGTCTTCTCAACATGACCACCTGCTGGTAGTCTATTTAGAACACTGGAAGTATCACCCACTTTTAGTCAAGTCCAGCTGTGATGAACATAAACAAAATACATGGCAGGAACAGCAAGGTACTGTCAGACTAATATTAAAACTGCAGTATATTAGCTTTTGCATGGAAATCTTGATGCAATTTCTATTCAAACAATGGATTTGGATCCCCTGGGAAATTGTGTATCCAAAATGTCTTTCATGGGCCTTTGCACAGAAGTTGAAGTCGTATTATTTGCTGTAAAAGCAACCAACACATTTGCAATTATTTCAAACAGAAAATGTTTGGAGAGGCTGCTAAAATACAACTTCTTGTCCTTTGGGATTTAATTTGCTTAGAAACAAAACATGCCCTTGAAGATAAATAGTAAGAGGCATTGATTCCAGTAACTGGAACAACACTTTCAAATTAATTGAAAAAGATTTCCTAAAACCACTGTAACACTTCTACCAATTAAAAATACGCCCTGATTGGAAAGTTCGGTGCTGAAGAATTATAGTTACAGCAAAATGAAAACTTATTAAATTAACTTTTAATTAAGCTATTTTATATCAAACTACTTTATATCGAAGACAAATGTAGCATTACTTCAAAGAGTTCATGCTGAACATGAAGATCATTAACATTTAAATAAAGATGTGCCATATGGTTTGGCAGAAACTGGAATACTCTCAGACATGGGGGCCTTCTGCTTGCAGCTTCAGAATTTGGAGTCTGTTATAGTCTGAAAGGAAAAAAGCTTAAATCTTTAAAGAATATTGACATTGTCAAATGGATTTATTTTGTTTTAATTCATGGAGTAATCCAGTTCTAAATAATTATACAGTACTTCAAATGTTAAATATAAAGGCACAGGTGAAGAGGCAGTTGCATTGATTATTTTTTTGCTGACCATGTTGGTAAATAGACCATGGAAGTATAAAATCTAAAACTTTTAGACACAGCTTCTTTATCTTGGTAAAATTGGGGGTGGGAGGATTTGACTTTTCAGACAGGGCAATACAGACTATACTTTAGAATCCCTTTAAGTCCCCATGAAATGTACATTAACAGATATGCTAGGAGAACTTCCAAGTGAGGGAGAGTTCTATGTAAAGAGAAAGAAATAATCATGTACCTTGAAAAACATCTAAATATGACTCGTAGACATTCAACATGTGTACTAGATGCTGAAAAGTGTTGCAAGTGCGGTACAAATGTTATAGGCAAACCAATTTCCTCTGCTTTCCAAATTCAGATTTTAAGATGCCTCATGCACGTTAGTAAGAATGGATTTATCTGGTTTTGTTATAGAACAGTTATTTTCTCCCAGGAAGTGCTAGGATGGAACAAGGGTGGTTCCTTGCAATGGTTGAACTTATATGTCAGGGATTTCATTCTACTTCTACTCAAGAGCACTGTAGAAAATGCAGTGTGGCAGATTGCTAAACTGTCTTCCAACACTAGTATCATATATATATATATATACATATGTCTGGCTGTGCTTTGCTTTTATCTAACAGATGGATTGTATAGTCATATAGACACACACAGACACACCCCCGTGCAGGGGTCATGCAAGTGGTATTTTCATCTTCCAGAATATTGAAACATAAGTTGGTAAACAAACAAAAGCCTCCCTATTTTTTTTTTTGAGAAAGAAGGTACTTTCTATTAACTTGGCTGCATTTTCATAATATTTTAATAATAAAATACTTTCTTACTAATAGCAATAGGAAAATCACTACTAAAAGTAGGCATGATTTCTGACAGAAGTATAAACAAAACACAGGTATGTGTATATAGAAGAGGGAGAAACTATTTTAAAGGTTGTTAGGGACCAAACCCCTGCAGAGTTGGATGTAGGAATTTCAGGTGAGATTGTACCATGAATAAACCTAGATACTCATAAGGTAGACTAGAGGAAGAAGTATTCAATCCTTGTTTTGTTTAATCAAACATGCTTTAGCTGCTCATCATAAATATAATGCAATCAAGTGAGTATTGTTCACAGTAATTTTTATTTTGGCCATCTGTCAGTTGTGCTGCTAGGTTTTTCAGGAGTGAAATTTTGGTGTAATCATTCTCAAAAAAAGTTGTCTTACAAGTCTTGTCTTTACTGTTATTTCTCATGCTTCTAAAAAATTGACTGAAGAGGGTAGAACTATATTTCAGTTCTTTACATTTAAAGATCTTGCTTAATACAGCCACAATCATATAACTGTAAGTCTGTCTTCTCGAAATGGGATATAATGGTGTTGATGATCACACACACTTAATAAATAGGCTACTCAGAGTAACCTATCTTCACAAACGGAGAATTGAGGAGAAACAGTGTAATAATTTCAACTTAAATTACATTAGCAACTAGATTCTTTTAGAAATTGATTCTATAACGTTATGGTTTTTAATTAAACGCTTCAATATAAACCTATTATAACAGGATCAATTTCCTGTTTTGAAGCTGCTCTCCAACTTTTCTGTAGGACAAATGATAAAACTGGAATTAATTATCCTGAGTAAACCTACAGTGATTTTTTTTTTTTTTTTTTCCTTCCTGTGTATTGTTTTAAGAGCAACTTGTTCTTTTGCGTGCCTTTTTTTCCCGTGCCAGATCTTAAATTTTTTGGAGTGCATAATTTCCTGCTACAGCAAAGAAATCATTTAAAGTATAGAAAAATAAACTGTGAGGAGGTACACAAGCAGGTGATGTGACTAATAGCATTTAACTTCTGGCAAGTCATATGGCATATTTGTGATTGAGGATAGGATGGCAGTTGATGGCTCCCAAAATAAGTGATACTAGTCCTCAAAAATCAAATAACTCTTTAAAGTACAGACTTATATTAAGTCACATAGTGACATTTTTTTTTTTAACTTGTGCACAGCTTTTCATTTGCAGGTCTTAGCTGGAGTCTGCAGAGACAGCAGTGGCAACATACAAAGAATAAAAACAATTTTCCTAGTATTTCTGAACTGTCTGGAATCTGGAAGAACTGTAGCTCCTATGAGACTGAGTGGTCTGAGGAAGTATGGGCAATTCAGATAAGCTTTGAATAAGCATCAAACATTTTGCTGCTCACTGCTTATCTTCATCTTCAAACTCTGAAATTTTTTAGGCTTCTCTGTCACAACAAAAAGGGAAAGGAGGCAAGGTGCTATCATGGTCAAAAATGTGTACAACCATCAATAATATGAGGTTTCTTGGTGCTTTTAGAGATTTCCTGGTACCTGCTAACAGGTTACCTGATGCTAACAACTGAAAGTAGGAAGAACTTTGGTCTGTGTTAATTTAACAAAAGCATCTAAATAATATCATATCTTTTCTCCCTACATGTTAGTCAGTGAGAGGAAAAGATAAGATTGCAATTAACTGGAGGTGGAGTATTGGTCCACTGTGTTTTCTTCTTTGTTTTGGATTGCTTCTTGTTTTCAGGATAGCTAAACATATTTAATGGTAGTTATCTGAGTATTAAGCAATTATTTCAAAGTGGTCCTAAACTGAACTTTTTTCCTGACAGGTCTGCTTTGGCATTTTGTAATAAGAGAATCTGTCCGAGTTGATGCTTTGTCAGAAGCAAGTGCTGCAATATTTAATTCTCAGGTAAGCTTTGTTGATGTTATTTTCATGATGCTTCTTTCTTATATAGGCTAAATTCTTCTTAAAACAAACTATAAACAATTTTCTTTGGTTTAATTTTTGGTATATCTTTCAATTGTAGAGAATGTGTTTAAAAAACAACAAACTGTTTAGTTCTTTTTCAGCTTAAAAAAAAAAAAAACAATTTAAGCATTTCAATTAGATTTATGATAATACTGTTCAGCTTGGGGTGTTTTGGGTTGTTGGTGTGGTTTGTTTTTGTTTTTGTTTTTTTTTTTTTTTTTTGTTTGTTTGTTTGTTTGTTTTTTTTTTTTATAATGAAAAGATTTCCTAAATAGCACAACAAGTATTTGAACCTCAGGTTCTTTTTTGGTACTGATGTTTTTCCACGAGTCTACTCATTGTTGAGACTACTTTCATAGCAACAATTTCACTGATGATAATTATGATGGACTCAAACTGATCAATAATTTGTAGACCTGTTTTTAGTATTTGCTATTCTAAGTCATTTTAGACCATACATCCATGATGGTTGTTTTTCCATATGTGTGCTGTAGAATCACAATTATGAATGGATAAATCAGGGTATTATGCTAAAGGTAAGGTTTTTTCGAAGAGGTCCATACTTAAAAATCATCTGATATTATATTAAAGCAAATCCCTTTGTTTTATATAGTTCTTCTACGTATGTCAAGTTGTCAAGATTCACTACATAAAAAACATACAGCATTTGTTACTTTCTCTCATGTTACATGGCTGCAGTAGCTCTAATTTCCATTTAATTTTAATTTTATTTCTTCTGGTTTGTTTTTATTTTTTGTAGATCTCTCACTATGGCTCTAAACCTTTTTCTTTCTTCTACACTTTGCCTCGTTTTACATACTAGCTTAAACTCATGAAATCCAAGTCAACAATCAGGCTGTCACTTCATGACATGTGGAGTCATGAAGACAGTTAAATCCTTGTCAACAAAAAACTTTTAAATCATTGTTCTGAAGAATACTTTGGAGAATAAGGTCCTGTATCTAATCTTAATAGATTTCATAATTTCTACAATTATTTTCTCCAATTTTCTATGTCTCTGAAATTAGAAGGGTTAAAGCTGATTTTATTCCTATAAGGTTTTACAACAAGGATCCAAGGGATATATTAATAAGGAACATACCTTAAATCTTTTGAGGTTCTTAAATGCAATTTTACAGTAATTTTCCAAATGTGTTTTACACTATATTTTTTTCTATGTAGATTAATTAGATTTATTTCACTATGTCTCAATAAAACTTATTCATCCTTAAAAGCAGGCAGTAATATGTAATATATGTATTTATATAGAAATATAGAGAGGAAGAACTAATCTGTATGTAACAAGTGTTATATTGAATATGATTAAGTACAGTTTTGTCAATAAGCATATTTAAAAATGCACTGTTTTGCTTGCACTTGCTGTGGGAGAGTAATTTAAATCTACATCATAAAGACAAACTGAAGTAATATATGTGTTATTACTTACAGTATCACAGGAGTTATAGCTAATAGTCAAAATACGAACTGCAATACTAGCATTAATCCATCCCTCTCTTTTGCCCTATAAAATAGGAGAAAACCAAAATGTTTATATGCTAACTATAAATAACATAAAGTGAGAACTTTTGGAAGTTGAATTCCTTCACCTTTTTATTCTCCATATTGTTATTTATACCTTATTATCACATTAGTCTTTCATCTTTTCTCAAGTAAGATAGACCTAAATGTTTCAGTCTGACAGGTTTTCCAAACTTTCACTGACATTTGCAGTTGAACCCTTCCAATTTCTGCAACATTTTCTACACTGTGGACATTAGACACTATTCCAATAGCAATTATATCATGGTAAATAAGGACACAGGGTAGCTGTTGTATCTCGTAAATAAGCAGCAAACGCTAACATTTAGCACATTCTACTGCAGTGTCATGTTGTGAACCTGCGCTTATGAATCCCAGGGATCCTTTTGTTGTTACTTCTTCCTAGTACAGTTTACTATCCCTAAATAACATCAACTTTTTTTTTTTTTTTTAAATTATGTATAAAACTATATATTTAGCAATTAAGAAAGATTAATGTTTTTTACTTGTGCCTGACTTACCAACTAATAAAGATTGCTTTTCATCATGATTGTTCCACTACATTAATCTGTCTCAGTCTTTATGTATCTACAAATATGATAATTACTTATTTCATTTCTTTCCAGTGAGAAAGTCACTGGTCAGAGTATTATTTTGGCTATAATCAAGATCCAAACTTCAGAGAACTTGTTGAGCAACATTTAATTAAATTAATATCAAAGTCTTTAGGGACCTGGAGGTCCTATCCTAAAACAAATGTTTGCCTGAGGTATTTTTTGGTCTCAGTTGGTTTATTGTATATATTTAGACACCATGCCAAGAGATTGGTGTTTACAGTATGACAATGATGGTGATAGGGGTGTCATTGAGAAAGCTCTTCAAGTATAATGTAAAAGACAACTATCAAAGAATGTACAGCTACTCAGTATTGCAAGTTTATTTCATAACTGAATCCCCCTTAAATTTAAATACTTATATCTAGCATGTTTGTTTTTTTCTGTACATGGTTCTTGCAGGTAAAATCTGTAGCCACTGGCTAACATAAGTTACTTACTGATCTCTAGAAAATAATCAAAAACTGTCCAGGCTTAGTGGAACGCTCTGGGGAAAAAGGCTAACAAATCACATGCAGACTTAGTACACAGTAAGATTAACTGATAAAACACAAGTTATAAAATACTTTGCAAATTCCATGTTAGTTACTCCTACATTAAATTACAATAAATATTACACAATTGATTTATTTTAATTACATTTTCTTATTATTTAATTCCTCTTGAACTGATTTCATCCCATTTCCAATGTTTCATGAAAATGTGATTATAAACACTGAATATTTATAACCTTTTAGTTAAAATATAATTAAGCTTGAGGAAAAAAACTCTTCTGCATAGCAAAGGGAGGAATATTAACAGTGGTAGGAGGAATGTAAAGTATTAGGCAAGTGGCTATATTCAGAGATTGAAAAGATTATTTTGACTGAACTATATTATTTACTGTCCTGGTTTTGGCTGGGATGGAGTTAATTTTCTCCCTAGTAGCAGGTACAGTGCTGCGTTTTAGATTTAGTGTGAGAATAATGCTGATAACACACTGCTGTTTTAGTTATTGCTAAGTAGTGCTTATCCTAAGTTAAGGATTTTTCCGTTTCTCATGCTCTGCCAGCGAGCAGGTGCACAAAAATCTGGGTGGGAGCACATCCAGGACAGCTGACCCAAACTAGCCAAAGGGCTATTCCATACCATAGAATGTCGTGGTCAGTATATAAACTGGAGGGAGTTGTCCAGGAGGGGCTGACCACTGCTCGGGCATCAGTCAGCAGGTGGTGAGCAATTGCATTGTGCAGCACTTGTCTTTTTTTCAGTTTTATTTATCTCTCTCTTTTTTATTACATTACTTTTTATTACAAATATTATTTTTATTCTTATTTTTATCATTATTGCTATTATTTTATTTTAGTTATTAAACTGTTCTTGTCTCAACCCATAAATTTTAATTTTTTTTCCCCAAGCCTCCTCCCTGTCCCACTGGGAGGGGGGAGGAGTGAGCAAGTGGCTGTGTGATGCTTAGTTGCTGACTGGGGTTAAACCACAACGTTTACATCAAGATTTCAATTTAACTCCATTACTTCTTGTTTGGTTAGAGAATTACTTTTATTTGAACCCAAAGTCTTCACTGAAGCAGTACAAATGGTGAACAATATACCACATCTGTGGTGCCAGTTGTTATTCTACCCTGATTTTTGTCATGTTATTGTTAGATTATTTTTCATAAGTGTCTTCTTTTGTGAACTCAGTTTCATGTACTAGCAGTTTAAATCAGTGTATTTTTTAGTAGATTAAATAAATTTTACTGAAATAAATCCCTCTCATTTTATTTTTATAGGTGATCTCAGATGTCTATTTTGTCCTCTAAAAGTAGTAATTTATTTACACGAGATTTTGAGGATTAGTAATCTATTTACCCAAGGTATTCTAAAGAGCACCTGAAAAAACTTCAAGAGCCCTGGTAAAAGACAATGGTATCTCCAAGAGCTCCTCTATATGCTCATTCCTTTTCTTATTTAACTTCAGCAGCAGATTGCTGTGAGTATGCTGACATATTTAGAGACAAGTACAGAGCTCTAAGGTCTACTAGCAGAGTTTTCAAGCCAGGATGAATACTTTTAGTAAGGAGAGATAGTATAGGTATCTTTCCACTCTGCTGTGTCATATGGCTGTTCTGGGCATGTGCACAGAACAAAGCTTTTATATAATAAAAAATGAGAGGTAGGCTCTTACAGGGAAAGCTGCTCAATTTCATGGCTTAGAATAAGGATTGGAGCAGCTTAATGATTTATTAATAACATGTTACTAACAGTCTATCAGTGAGCCAGTTATTCAGGATAGATACAGTAGCACCCACAAAATGCTAATGAAGACGTACAATTTTCTAAATGCTTTATAATTACTCCTCAAATATTCTAGTCACACACTCACTGCTGTGTGCACACTCCCCCTCTTGCAGGTCATGTGAGTTGCAAGCACCCTGCTCTACTCCTGGTGGTGTAGGTTCTCCTATTTACATACCTCTCCTGCCAGAGATGTGGGTCCCCCAGCTTTACCTGTACTCTGCTGCTCCCTGAAATGTGCTAATCCACATGGTGGTGAGAAAGGCGCCACGGTCACATAGGCACACCCAGGTCCAGGTGCCTGGTGCTGCACCCTGCATTGTCACTCCTTTAACTGGATGTAGGCTGCTTATGGCATTCAAAGGGAATGATGCTCTGCCTGCCTGTTCAGATGTCATGGTGTCGGTGGGGCGACTTCTGCTAGTGCCAAACCAGATTTAGACAGCTGCTCTGTTATCTTTTCTCACTCTAAGATCCATCACGATTGTTGTAATTTTTCATGATTCTAACTCCGTTTTATTTAGTCAAGCCCAGACAAGAAATCACAGGGTTTAAGTTTGCAGCTAAGCATGGTTTAATTGCTGAGATAAGAATCTGTACTCTCATGAGAGTTACTTAATTTGTAAGCTATTTGTAAGATGTCAAGTCCTCAAAATCATGTGTCACTGCTAAACCTTTTATGATAGAGACAGCTGCAGTAGTGCTATGGGGGTGTTCACCTCAAAAAGTTCAGCTTTATTCACTATGTGAAAAGTTGAAGGAAACAATAGTAACTGGACATGTGAAAGCATGACTCTATTCCAGAAAATGACAATAAACGAGGCCACTGGGCTGTAAATAAGCATGGCTCCCAGGGTGTTTCTTTGTAAGGGGATGGGGGAGGATGGGAACAGGCTGATGGAAGAACTGGAAAGCATTAGAAACATTATATGAAATTAAAGAAGAAAGGAAGTATTTGCTAAATCATAGTGTCTTTCCTCAATGGTATTTAATATCACTCTGGGAAGCAGTCTTCCTGCTTTCTTCCCTTGTGTACTAATAAACAGGACTGACAATGCTTGCAATTGTCTTTTATAACAATGACTTAGGCTTATTTATATAGCTTTTGGGGCTCTGCAGTCCTGTAGCATTGATAATGTGGGGCTGAACCTGTAGTGTTTCAATAACTGTCTGCCTTATGCTAAATATGTCCTGCCACCTATGTCTTTTGAAAATTGAAGGTACTCACTAAAATAGGAAGTTACGAAATATTTTTTTCTTTTTTTTACTTAAAAAAAAGAAATCCAGAAACTTGCACCAGATCATTTATTTTCCAGAGGATGTAGACTCATGCCTCAGTTGAATGAGAGGTAGAAAGACTCCCAGGGACATACTTTGGGTTCAGCAGTCTTTCTGCATATAATCAGTTACAAGATTGGAGGTTTAATTAAATGAAAGATATAACAGGTTAAGTGAAACACCAGAAGAAAAGAGAAAGACAGCTGTAATGTAATACGTTTAATTTCCAGTAAAATGTTTAAGAACATTCTAAATGTTGCAATTGTATATTCCTTAGAATAAAGGCATGACTACTCATGAGTAGCAAATATTTGTCTGAGATTGTGTTGTTGCATCAGGTAATTACTGTTAAGTTTTAGCTTGTTCTATACCCATGATGGTTTTGATTAGCAAGCCTCTAAAGTGTTTCCAATAGAGAGGACTGTCAGTACTGCTGACATGTATCTTGTACTTTTCTTACTCTTTGCAATTCTCTTAGAAGTAATATGAAGAGACTAGAAAGTATATGCATGTATACTAGAACATGCTCCGTTTGTCACTTTTTTCTCTACTATATAACAAGCATTTGAAAAAGGTTATTAATGTTTTGGGGTCTGGTATGCTTCTTTTGTCTCTGAAACAATTCATTTTAACCTGAGAAGACAGAATGGTTTTAGCAGCTTCCTAAAAACTGTCATAACTATTACACTGTCTAGAATTTGATAAATCTAACCATTTATTTTCCTTTTGTGAGAAAACTATGTCTGCCTATGTCTATTCTTTTGCAGACCTTGAGCTGCCATTTCTCATTTGCCTCTCATTGCTGATGTTACAAAATTGCTCATTAAAAAACATTTCAGAAATAAATTTGTATAATAAAAATTCTAGAGAATAATCACAGGTAATTTTAGCAGGGATGTGGAAAATGCAGGGTTTTTTCTGTCCTTTCATACCTTTCTAAAGTGCCATAAATTGTTGACCTTTACTACTTCAAAAGACAAATTTGGGTTTATTAGGTACCTTGTATCTTGATATCTTGTTGTCATGGTTTGAGCCTGGTCGGCAGCCAACCCCCGCAGCTGGTCACCCACCCTTCCCCCTCCCCACCTGGGAATGGGAGAGGGAATTAGAGGGGTAAAGGGAGACTCACAGGCTGAGATAGGAACAGTTTAATAATGGCAATAAAACGAGAACAATGACGATGATAGGGGGAAAACAAAAAGAAATATATAAACAGGCAATGTACAGAGTAATTGCTCACCACCCGCTAACCAATCCCCAGCCCGTTCCCAGCTACCGACCCCGAGATACCAAGATCCCGCAATCGCAATCCCGGAAGCAAGAGAGAGAGCTCCTTCCCAGCCACCCCTCCTCTATATAGTGAGCATGACGTTCCATGATATGGAATATTTCATTGGCCAATTTGGGTCTGGTGCTCTGTCCGTGCTCCCTCCCTGCTCCCTGTGCCCTTGCACACCGGCAGAACATGAGGAGTCGGAGAGTCCTTGGAGTCTCAGTAGCAGCTGAAAACATCAGTGTGCTATCAGCATTCTTCCCATACCAAACCCAAAGCTAAATCCAAAACACAGCACTCTTCTAGTTCCCGAAAAGGAATATTAACTCTATTTCAGCCCAAACCGGGACACTTGTTGACTGTAGTACATTATGAATCTCACTGGATAACATAAACTGGCTTCCTACCAAGAACAAGCTATACCTTACTGCGGTTCACTGTAATGTCTGAGTGCCTTGGCAGAGAGGAAAAGTCTCTTGACAGATGTCCTGACAGAGCAATAATGAAAAGGTCATACCACATTTCCTACAGCATTTATCTTGTTTCTTTAGTGTCAGTGTATCAAAAACTAGATCCAATTACATCTAATTAGGAACACCAAGTTCTGCAGTAAAGCTAAGAATCTATTAAACACTTTGATCAAAATTATTACACATTATATTTGAAAATCGTAGAACTCTTAAATGGCATGTCGTCAACATTACTATTCAGATCCAGTCTTAAAACTTTTTACCTTTTCTAAAAATCAAGGTCACAGAGCTCAGCAGTTCTTGTTTTATGGGGCCTTGGGGCCATTTTGAACTATTACTACTTCAAGAATTGTTGATTATGATTGAATACTGGAACAAAAGCACATCATAGACATTCTGAGCAAGTCTTCCCTGACAACATTGTCAGCATATGGAATAACAAATGCCCAATATTCAATGACAATTATGAAATTGCTTGTTTATCAATTATTTTATCATCCCTTGATACACAATAAATGATTAAAGGCTAATTCTAAAAATACTGCACATTTAAGTAAGTACACCAATTATGTTTCTTTTGTTATAATGTTCTGATTTTAGAATGCAAAGTAAAAATAATTCGTAAAGATAAAGAAAGTATTTTCTATGTTGATATACAGGACTAATTTGGATAAATTTGGAACAGGCTATTTTGAAAGGCCAACAGAAGTCTACAGAAGTCTTTCAGCTCACTTTGAGTTTTGTTAGACCCATAGGCTATTAATTACATTGGTAACAGTGTCATCGTTGTTATGGCACCAGTAAAATAAAGTACTTAATTGTATGGGTTTTACACTGCTTAAAAATTGACTTATTTATTTTGCTTTGTGTCAGACCTTTTCTGCATAAGCAGTATCAACAGTAAATTTTGTTACCTTTCAGCTAGCTCCATATTTTAAAATTATTAGATAGAAAATTTGATCTAATTTCAAACAGGAGTTAGAAGTCACTAAGATTGTTCCCATCACATTTTCTTTTAAATGAGAAACAGGGATTCTGATTAGTACATTTGGAGAGAATGTATGTACATTAAATCTTATTTTCTCTCTGTGTTTTGTGACAAGAAAAGGTGAGTCAGAGTACAGTATTCTATATTTTGTAAGCCTTAATTACACTGTTGCAAAAACTAGCTCAAAAATAACTTTAGTAATTGTTCAACTAAATGCTTACAATTTTCTTTCCCTTTGTTTTGTCTTCTAGTGATTAATGTACAATATACAAAATTGGATGACTAATAGAAGTTCTTCCTTGTCTCAGCTTTTTTAAAAAAAATCCAATCAAAATACACAGACTGAAGGAACAAAAAGACCTTTCAGTCCAACTCTGTCCTCAAAGACCAAATTATCAGTCAATATCCCTCATATAAATGACTGTCTTGTATATTCTTATATGTTCTATACTTAATATACTATACACTTAAATCCTACACATTTAACCTTTTGTTACTGAAAAAACATTCCTCTAATAACATAGCACCAGGACTGATGAACTTGCCTTTCATTAAGAAGCCTGCTGGAGTGGAATAGTTCTACGCTCAACAAAAAACCAAAGTTGGTGAAAATAAGAAAGCGAAATGAATGCAGCTTTGATACAGTCTCTTCATTCTTCTTATTATTCTTGATAAAAAGCATATTTGGTTTATTTACAAAGTGGTTTTACTTTTAGTGATGTGGTTTTATAATCTGAATCAGGATTTAATGATAAATCACTTCTATTTTATATGTTTAATCATAAGAAGATACTATGATTTTTAGGACTGAATGGTTCAACACAAGTAAGCCTTATATTCATCCCTATTTTTGTGGTTTTGATCTACTCCTCCCCCATTTCACTTTCTTTCCCAAATAGTTTTTCCTTTCCTACTGCGTTTCTTCTGTCTTTGAGCTAAATACTGATAAGCACTGTTGGGGACAGGGAAAGAGGGCTGCACAATGGCCTGGATAACAACAGCTGACAAGTGCTGTGAGAGTAACTCTGTGTGACTGGAACAGCCAAAAGTGTCTGAGATTTGCCCAAACAGTGATACTGCTGAAGAAGATGATGACCATCATCCAGATTGAAGAGCAACCAGGGAATTACAAAGATACTTTTGAAACAATGAAGGAGAACCTTGAAAAGAAATATGAAAGACTCATAGAAAGTATGCAACAATCGTGAGGGACCTTGGAGTGAGAATAGGATAACAGAGCAGCAGTTTAAATCCATTTTGACACTGGCAGAAGTCGCCCCAGCATGTTAATTCTGGGGCACCCACAGACAGTATGTGTAAGTATGGGTACCTGCACACCCAGTAGTGGAGGAGTCTTACAGCTGTGAGCATGTGTGTGTAATTTTAACTTTTTATCATTACTTATAAAAGGATGTTTAGAAATTTACAGATCTCTGTTAATGTTTTTTTCAGTGTGCTACTCTTTTATCTGTTTTATTGCTGAAATTGTGATCCTCAATAATTGGTTCACTGTTTACCACTTAAGGACATATCATTAATAAATCAATAAACCACTTCAATCCCAATCTGATTTATGCCGTGTGAATTGAATGGGTTTTCATACTGGCACATGTATCTAGAAGCTTTCTTTTATTTCATCAAAGATTACAGTAAATAAATTGTAGATGATTTGAACTTTAAAGTATAGTGACATTTTTCTTGTTTGTTAGAAATTGAGGTACACCTTGTGGGAGAGAAAAAAAAAAGTAATTCTAAAAAACTTTCTTCCTCCTTAGACATCTCTATTTGGCTTGCCTTTGCTGAAAGTCATAATTTTCATCATTGCAACTGTTACAAAGCCTACTCCTAGAGGAAGAAGGACAAGGGAAGAAGTACAAGCTAGGAAGTCTAAATAAATAATAGATAAAGCATAAATTATAAGGTATAAAATTTTTTCTGACACAGCAAAATAGGGACTAGATTCTTTATACAGGTGAGGGTCTAGCCTCATATACCTCAGTGCTGTTCTGAGTTACGACCTTGAAAATCTTCCAGTTCTCGAATAAAAGGTGTTCATTGTGCTCTACTGAGGTATAAACAATTGAAGAAACAAATCATATAATGGTATGTAGGCCTATTACATGTCAAGATGGATTACAAAAAACTATGATGGCAAAAAAAGTGAAAAAGGGTTATGACTTTATATGCTGCTAGTGCTGAACCACAATTATCTTAGCCAAGAACAAGCAATTATTCAAAATAAAACATAATTTGCTGTAAATGTGGACAACTCAGAATATATGGGGTGTAAGTCTTCCACTGATGTAAAGTAGTTTGGTTCAATTGTAAGTTTTCAGAATAATCGTGACCTTTTCATTTTCCTTAGTTATCAGCGTGTTCCTATAGCATGGATAATTTCTTCAGGCTCTTTAAAAATGAGTCTGTAGACAGAGAAACTGTCTTGAAATTTTACTTTAAGCCTCTCTACTTTCAGCAGTCATGATTTTTTTGTGTCATGCAAATTTTTGTGTCATACCCTCCTGCAAATTAGGAGGCAATGATTTAGACACAGTGGGAAGGGCCTGGTTAAACTGTTTCCCTCAGCGGTCTGGTATTAGGTGTGTTTGGCAGGACTACCACAGGTGGCTGGTGGTAGGGTGGCCATGAACTGCTACAGACCAGTTACAATAGCTACCACCTGGACCTGTGGCAGAGAGAACCAGGAGAAAAAAACCCAGCATATACCAAAATTACTCACCAGAGAAGTATATGGCGCTCTATACTGCAAGAGACTGCAGCCGTTAAGTTGGGGGCTATCTGCACAGAACAAATGGTTAACTTCTGAGGGAAGTGTGGCCATTTCGGGAAATCTCCTGAGGTAACTTCTGCCCAAACTGCTGCCGTGACAGAGCATGGACACTTCTGAGGGAAGTGCCACCAAAACTGCTGCCACACCAGAGCGAGACTGCTCCTGAGGGAATTGCCGACTAAACTGCTGCCACAGCTGAGTGTGGGCACTCCTGGGGTATCTTCTGCTCAAACTGTTGCAATAGTACAGCAGGGACACTTCTGGGGGAAGTGCCACCAAAACTGCTGCCATGTCAGCACAGGAACGCTCCTGAGGGAAGTGCTGACCAAACTGCTGACACAGCAGAGCATGGATTCTTCTCAGGGTACTGCTGCCCAAAATGTTTCCACACCAAAGCAGGGTCAATTTTGAGGGAAGCGCCATCAAAAATGCTGCCACACCAGAGTGGGAACACTCCTGAGGGAAGTGCTGCCCAAAGTGCTGCCACAGCAGAGTGTGGATGCTCTTGAGGGAAGTGTTGCTCAACCTGCTGCCACGCCAGAGCAGGGACACTTCTGAGGGAACTGCCGCCCAAACTGCTGCCATACCAGAGCGGGAATGCTCCTGAGGGAATGCCAACCAACCTGCTGCCACGCCAGAGTCGGGACGCTTCTTAGGGAAGTGCCGTCAAAACTACTGCCATGCCAGAGCTGGAATGCTCCTGAGGGAATGGCTGCCATACCAGAGCACAGACATTCCTGAGAAGCGTGGCTATCCTGGAGCAGGGACACTTGTGAGGTGGCCGTGGCCCACTGCTGATTGCAGACCAGAGCATGCCCAGTGAGAAACAGAGCAGCAGAAACCTTTAGGTACCTGCCTCAGCTGCTACACCATCTGTCTCTTCATTAGAGGAGTTTTCAGACTGTCAGCAGAAATGAGGTAATTTCAGAATGAGCAGGTGAGAGGGTAAGTGCTTGTCTAATCATGTTCTGTTTTTCCTCAACACCTGAATCAGTGATTGAAGGTTTGTTTTGGTAGGCAGTAAATTAACTGAGGTAAAACTCCCCAACTTTGGAATGCTTGCCCCATGGTACTTGGATGACACTTGATACAGACTTGATGTAAGCATTACCTCTTACACAGCCTCCCCATTTTTATGATCCTGGTGGACACTATTTAGAATGATGCAACTGTAGTTACTTGACACTAAGAGTTTGCCTTGAAAACTCGCATGGAGCTGCCAGGGTGCTGTGAATCTACATCCCAGCCCTTCCTAGAGAAACAAAACTAAATTTTTATACATAGAAAAACTAATTTATTTATCTCTACATGTGTCATTTTCAGTAGAAGAATTAGTGATCACATGGATTTGTGATGGGACCAGAACACCTCAGTAGAAGATGGAGGGCTCCTGTAAACATGGGGTCTGCAGAAGTTTGAGGTGCAATGTGTCCTATCTCACAGATACTTCTAGGGACCATTTTGCAAGTTCCTCTTCAGTCAGTAACACAGTGAATATAACTAAAGTGCCATCACCTGTGGTGCCTGCTAGCTTCATGTGAAAAGTAGATGTGCCTTTTACCTCTATATGTCTTGAGGTATGAGCATTAGAAGTTATCACTAGTAGAATAAAGGGTAATTCAAGCAGTGGTTTTCAGAATCCTTAGAAACACTAGGTATCCACTAAGTCAGGTGAAAATATATGGAAATAAAAGGTTAGAAAAGGTGCTGTATGAATATCAAATCAGCTTGATATGCTCATAGTAGAGGCACCAGAAGTTTTGTTCTCAGTGAATTTTGTTAATGGGAGTATATGGAATTTACTTCAACATATCCTATAGATGACAGCTGTCACGATATAATTGCAGTGCTACACCATGATTGCAGGTAGCAGGTAAGAGAAAATAACATTTAAGTGGCTTTTTCATGAGATGTAGTTTGATAAAGTGTTAATTAGAGATTTTTATGAATACCTTATATTATGTAGTGTATTTCAGAAATTAGTACATTCTTTGCATTCCAGTGCTGTAATCTATAGTTGCATACAGTTTTTAAAACTCAACCAAAACTGCTCTTCACTGTTAAAATGGAGCTACTGGCCTGGCATTTTCTTCAATACTAATATGGTTTTAGCTTACTATTTGTTTGTAATTGGCAAATTTCTTTCTAACTTCTGAGGATTGCTTGGGGAATTGCTGGATTAGAAGACAGCTAGAGTTTTTCTGTGTTGGTGATGGAAAAGAAATATTTCATTTTGCTCCTGCACTTGCAGTATTTTTCAGAATGTATTTGTATGTTAGGCTATAAGACGCAGATGTGTTTTAGTATTATCTGTTGGTCTTTGCAGTTACATAAATGGTCTAGCCCTCATTAACATTGCAGTTCAGTATACAAATCCATGCAGCATCAGAATCTTTCTGTGTAATAGGACATTATAAATCGGTATTCTAACATTAGTGTAAGAAAAATATACTTGAATATAAACTATCTGTCTTTAAACAGTAGAGTGCCCAAGCAGCTAAGTCAGCTTTGTTTAAACTCACTGTAAAAATATAATGAAAATATATTAAATCTGATTTTGTAAGTGCATTGATTACCATTTGGAGATACATTCATAGAATTTAAGAGCAAACAACTATGTTAAAATATCTAATCTTACCACCAAGGGTGCTAATCCATTTAATTTCACCTGATCATCCTTGCATTGTGCATATTTCTTTATCTGGAATGAAAGTAAATCCTGTGGTTGAACTAAATAATCCCTTTGTCAATGTATGGGTCAGATATTCTAGTCATACATGTCAATTGCATGAGTGATACATAAGACAATATAAATATTATTTCAAAGGAAATAAACTCCTAAGCAACAATATACTAATAGAAGAACTTAGTCTGGACAGGATTTTGTTGGTGTGTGAAGTTATGCTTGTATAAATAATATTTTAATGGCTTGTCTATTGTTTTTATTTTCTGAAATTGGATGGGTAAAACTGAAAGCACCTGTGATGACTGTACAAGAAAAAGCCCCAACATTTGTAAGATTTTTTTTTTTTCCTCCCAGGTGAAAAAAAAAGATGTATAGAATACATTTGCCATTTAGAGTTAGTGTTGTATGATCTAGAACAATATTATATGGCAGCAGTTCAAGTACTTCATCATAGTAAAGAGAACTCTTTTGGGACATATATACATATCATGAAACGTATGAAATTTTGATGTCCTCAGAGTCACAGGGAATTTGAGATGGGACTGGCCCCAGATGTCTAACTTGTATTAATATTCACTGAACACAGAAATAGCTTTAGTTTCAAAACCAAATGGTAATAAATTGTTCATACTGTAGCTGTCACTGTAAGTGGTGTCTACCAACAGAGCAGCCTCTCATTAAGGGTAATATCTGTTAGACCTTACACTACATTTACAATAATTGATACAGCAGTTATGTTCCATTACTGTAGATATGTATGTGGACTTAATGCAGACGTTTGATCTTTTGCAGTGCTTTAAACACAGTTGTACTGGCTTTGGAGAAGTTGTGTTGAAGTCTGAAAGGGATTAAGGCTAATTATTAAGTCTTTAAAATATTTTAATGAAACTCAGACTGACTGTTCTATTTTTATAACCTTTTCATCCCTTAACATGTGGAAGGAGGACTGCAAATCAGTCTTCTCATTC